GTCCTATGTTAAGTATAAAATCCAAGGCTCAAGGTATTACTATGTAAAATAATGTCATTTATAATCATTTATTACCTATAGTAAAGAACGCTGAATTTATGGAGTCTCACACATGCATCTTTCCACCCCCCCACCTCAGACTATCTTCTATCTCAAAAATAGTATAGAAAAGTTCTTGAAATCAAGATCATAAAAGGGGGAGGAAAAACAATGTTCCTAAGAGTCTGGTTCAAGTTCAATAATTAATACATTGTTAATCACAGCTGGTTTATAAATTCCAAATTATTCTGTAACACTACAAACCTTATAAAAACAATCAGTAAACTTCAGTGAGTACATTTTAATTTAAAAACAGCATGTAGAAAATAAAGTATCCTGTAATAGCTAATTTTAAAGAAAATAAGTAATGAAAAAAAAAGTACTTAATCTCTTTTTATACACTTACCTGGCATAAGCATAAAGAACCCTCCTAGAAACTCAAACTAATAACATTGACACATACTTTAAATTATGCTTCAACTTTTTACAAATAAATACAAGGTACGCCATATTGCATAGGTGTGCTTTCTGTCTGTGACACTAATGTGGCACTTGACATGTTTTCACAGTCATAGAAGGGATATCTATTTATGAAACAAGTTCTCGAACTTGCCACAGCATGAGAAATTAGTTTCACTTAAATGTGAGATAGAAAAGCTATGTATTTGTGTAGATGGTAGGTGTACAATTAATGCTTCCTATTCCAAAACGTTGCAGTGTTTGCCACTATTGCTGACAGCCCTCATTATGAAAACAGTTAACTATGGGGTAGTTATAACCAGCCAAATCACAGTGCACATTGTTACTAGCAAACTGAGAAGGAATAGTTTGGTGTAAAAGTTTCACTGGAATTTGGTCAGGCTGTCAACACTACAGTTAGTAGAAACAAGTATCAGAGTAGCAGAAGCCATTTATAGTCTGAAGGAATTCCTATACATATCATAGCTTTTTTGGTTCTACTTTTTTTCTCAGATATCACAAACTGTCAGAGAACAAAGATCTGTACTTGAAGTACAATTTCTGCCCTTAATCATTATTGTAGCTTTTAATTTCCAGCTACAACAGTAAGATTCTCAAAAGGCTGCTGCAGTAAGAGATCTAGAGGGAGTTGGTTTAAAAAGAAAGGTTTTCTGTCCAACGTTGAACTTTTATCAAGTCTTTCATTTATTGCCACAACTGAAAAGGTATACTTCCAATCATCTGTCATGGTTCTATTTTTGCTTTTATAATTTCATCCCATGTTACTTCATTTGAAATTTATAGGCAAAGTCTTACTCTTTTCTGATTGATTTTGACATGCATAAAGAATTTTATGGCTTGGATCCTATGGCTCAAAAAAGTTTGAAGAACACAGCAAGCAGCATCTACTTAGAGAAATCCTAGGGCTGTAAACTATTACAAATGAACTGCACAGGCTGAAGACAGTATGAAAGACCAACAAAAATGAAGTGACAAGACTCAACTGCACGGTCATCTACTTCTACCAGTATGCACTGAAATGCATTTCATAAAGCTCTGTAGATATTAAACCCTTTCACCAGCTAGTCATGGAAATGCTCTCATTAAGGCAGGAAGTATTTAAGAAAGGTAAAGTTACCTTTATTTTTATTCTCTGTACCTGTAAATCACTTATGTAGATTTTGTTACAATTTCAAAATCGGTATCTTGTTAACATGTTTCCTAAATTAAGCCACTAAGTTTTGTTATTCACTATGGAAGACATTCATCAAAAGGCCATTAAATATTTTTTACAATTAAAAAAATGTAGCCTCAATATTAGGAGGAAAAAACCCAAACAAACCCTTTTTTTTTTTTCCTTTTTTTAAAAACTGTTGGGGGGGGGGGATATTAAGGAAAGCAGACAGCAAAAACAGTAAAAAGTAAAACTTAAAACCTTACCAATATGATGTAGAGATTAGACAGAGAGTGGCCATGGTACCACACTCTTCCCCTGGATATCTCTCTCCCCAACTTTGCTGCCCTCAGCATACTTAACCCTGACTCTCTTCCGTCCTTCTTCAGACATGGGCTTGAACACATTTGGATCTTGAACCAAATACTGGTATAAGATCAGGTGTGATTTTTTTTTTTTTTTTCCGGTGCAGCACAGGCCCAGGATAAGGATGAAATGTAGAAGATACAACTTGGGCCCATTCCCTTCCAGTTAAGCTCAGCACAGAGCAGTACTGCAAGTAGAAATGATTAACTGGATTCTTTTTTTTTTTTTCTCCTAGTATTACAGACAGGTATTGCAGCTGGGTTATTAAAACAAAAACCAAACAAAAAGAGGACAACCCAGGTCCACCCCAAGCCCTCAAAGGAGCCACAGCTGTGGTTAACAATGATTCATTTGCATTTTATTTCATCAAGAGAAGAAACAGAAGCTGGCTTTCTCCACACCAACCAATAATTTCTCATTTTAAAGTTTGGGATGTTTTCCATAATGAGCTGAATCAAAAATCTATTTGAAAAATATATATTTATATAAAAAAAAGATTCAGGTTTGCACGTAAAACATCAATCGATAAGTTTCTTTTGTCTTTGATTCCATGTTGCTGGAAAAAGTTTGACAAAGCTTGCATGCTTATTTGTCCTTAGTTGCAAGTATTATAGGCAATTTCATACTTTGCCTAATGAAAGGATAACCCCTTCTTTGACACAATCAGAATTCAACAGTGATTCAGAAGCAACATCCTACCCTTAATACTGTCAGTTTGGAGCCATCAACATGAAAATCCTCGATAAGGTTGAGAAGATGTCACCAGGAATCAGTTAATCCATGTGTCTATGGGTTCCACAATACTATTTTGCTTAAGTTTTGTTTTGTTTTTGCACCATTGATTGATTTTTAAAATCCATGTTTATTTTTTTCCATCCAAAGTGTACTAGGTAATGACAACAACTCTTTGAGACTGTCATTTTGATTCTTTTTTTGTCTTGCAGGATGCTCACACATTTCCCACTTTTTTGCCTCAAACTCATTAAAAGCATTGTTTTGTCATAGATTCATACGCAGGTGCTCTGGCCGTTTGGAGATCATAGGAAAAGCTTGTTTTTTGTATGGCCCGGAGTTCGGCTGTCGGATTGGAAGTGGTGCTGACGCTTCCCCACTCATAGTCACATCCATCTGCTCTATTCCGCTTGTTTCCATTGGGTACTCCACAGGTGTCTGAGGATTTGCCGTGCTGGCTGAAGCACCTCTTCCCCAGAAATCCCCAGGAGAGAATTTGACTGGGCTTTAAGGCAAGGAAGAGCTATCATTCATTTGTCTCAAGGGTCATCTTAACAAATACTTATGTTTATAAAGGGAAGGGCATTTAAAATAAATCACTTTCCCAAACCTCTGCCATTTTCCTCACTGACCAACATTCCAGGAACTCCTGCTATTTTCTTCCCTGAGGCTTTTGTTCTTGCTGTTCTGCCTGTAGCATTTTTCTATCTCCTTTTTCTCATAGCTAACTTTCCCTTTATTCCTAGAAGTTACTTCACCAGGGAGGACAGTCTCTATTTTAGTGGAAGCATCCTTGTTTATCTCTGCTTTGTACTACTATACTTTAAAGCAAATTGTGTGTGTGTATGTACGTGGTAGATACATGTATATACATGGTGAAAGTGCTATTGCTTGTGCTGGTGTGATAGCCCATGTGGGTGGGTGTGCCACAGTTAAAAATATAGCACTTGGCATAACTTGTAGTTACACATTTTTGTGTGTCTTTTTGTTTTGGTTTTTAAGCCAGGGTCTCCCTATAGTCCCAGCTGGCCTGAAACTCACCAGACCAGCCTCAGTCTCACAGAGATCTGCCTGCTTCTGCCTCCTGAATGCTGAGACTAAACATGTGCGCCACCATACCTGGCCCTTTTGTGTGTATTTCTATCTTGGTTTATTTTGACTCCTGCTGAATTCATCAGGAAGGAACAATTTTTGCATTATATTATTATCCATGTGACATGTAATACATACAATAAATGTTGAATGAATGCCTAAAGAGGACATTTGCCATTTGCAAACTATATGACCTATGAGAGGACTAGACTAGTCCTTTGAATATAAGAAGACATTTATATGCTTACATTAAGCAAAATATGACAGCTCTTTATATAACTTGGCATGAATTTCTTAGGCTATATTCTTCTAACTTGAAAAATAACAAGACTGGGAGACAGCTCAGTCAATAAAGTGTTTACCTTTACAAGGACCTGGGTTCAATACTCAGAACTATGTTAAAAAGAAAAAAAGCGGGGCTGGAGAAATCGCTCAGTGGTTAAGAGCACTGGCTGCTCTTGCAGGGGATCCAGGTTTGATTCCCAGCACCCACATGGTGGCTGACAACCATCTGTAACTCTAGTTCCAGGAGATCCAACGCCCTCTTTCTGACCTCCGCCAAGGGCATTCCATGACATGGGTGCACTTACACACATACAGGCAATACACTCATACACACAAAATATTAAAAAGAAAAAGCCAAGTGTGTCCTGGTACATGTGCAAAATTCTGACACTGGGGGTCACGGGGTGGGGAGGTTGGGGAGAGACAAGCAGGTTTCCTGGAAATCCCTGGCCAGCCAGCCCAACCTATTGGGCAAGTTCCAGGCCAGTGAGAGACCCCGATTTAAAAAAAAAAAAATGGTGGAAAGTACCTGAAGAATAATACCTGAGGTTGTCCTCTGGCCTGGGCGGGTAGAGAGGTGTGCGTGCCTGTGTGTGCACACACACAAACACACACACACACACACACACACACACACACACAGAGTAACAGAGTCTGAAATACCTGACTGGTGTTCGTGGGCTACCAATAAATCTTCGAGGTGACCGGATTTTTGGTTCAAAGGAAAACTTTTCTTTCACGCTTTCAAGTACAGATGGAGCCACATATGTAAAACCCTGAAAGACAGTAACAGTGTACTACAGAATGACATTTTGACATACACATCAAGAAAATGGGTTGGTTAGTCTGACACACCAACACACTGATGTACACCTAAAATCACCACTGTACATATTCATTTATCTCCTAATTTCTCTTTATACCTAAGCCTCCTAGGCCAGCTAACAAAATCTTAGCAGTAGGAAAAAAACAAGAACAGGAAGAATGTAGCTTTCCAGTTAAAATATATGTTAACTATAAAGAGAACCACAAAGAAATTATGATTGTTTCTAGCCATACAAACACATATATTTACAAAATCAATTAAGATGAATACTTCCAAAACAGTTTCTCATAATTAAGCCAGAATAGAAATGGAATTCTGACTTAGCATATGTGACCTTTCCTGTTTTACATTTTACATCAGTAATTGTACAGAATTTTTTTTTTTTTCAACACACGGACATGCGCACACACACATATTTTTTTATTTTTAAAGTTTCTTGAGACAGAGTCTCCCTATAGTCCCAGCTGGCCTGGAACTTGCTATGTAAACCGAGCCGGCCTGGATCTCACAGAAATCTGCCTGCCTCTGCCTCCTAAGGGCTGGGATTAAATGTGTGAGCAACAATTTCCAGGTAAGACTTATGTTTAATGTGTATGACTTTTTGCCCACATGTATATATGTACACCACATGCATGCAGTATCTGTGGAAGGCAAAAGAGGACATCGGAAGCCATAGAACTGGAGTTCCACGAACCATGCAGGTAATGGAAATTGAACATGGGTCCTCCACAAGAGCAGTGGTTAAGTACTCTTAACCACTGAGCCATTCAACCCCATTTTAAAAAATATTTTACTTTTAATTATGTGTATGTGTGGCTATGTGCACATGAGTATGTGTGCACATGAGTGCAGGTGCTCAAGGAGACCAATGGTGTTGGATGCCCTGAAGCTGTATTTATAGGCAGATGCTAGTTGTACAACATAAGCACTGGGAACTGAACTTGGGTCCTCTGTGAGAGCTTAACACATGACCCAGTGCCAACATGATGAAAACTGTCCACTGTAATAGGCACAAATGCCATTTCATTAGCTTAAGTTCTGTCCTGTATCTTACTATTAGGCTAACAACTGCCATTTCTTATTGCCAATATTCATTCTTTTAACAATCAGTCCTACAGCCTGTTATTAGCTATGAGTGGGTATCATGCTTTACAAGTAAGACTCAAGAGGCTGAGTGAAGTCCAAAGAGGATGATACACATTTGAATTGCATAAAGTTCATGATTTCAGAGGCCATTTCTCTACATTTTCTCACAGGCTAAAGACGAAGTTGCATCTTACTTTTTAAGAAATATATTTTATTATTTTTATTTTATGTATATGAGTGTATTGCCTGCATGCATGTAAGTGCACCTGTGTCATGTGGTACCTGCAGAAGTCAAAAGAGGGCATCAGATCCCCTGGAAATGGAGTTACAGAAAGTTGTTAGCTGCCATGTGGGTGCTGGGAATCAAACGCAGGACCTCTACAACAGCAGTCGGTGCTCTTTAACTGCTGAGCCATCTCTCCCAGCCCCTTCATGTTACTTTTTAATTTCCTTTAATTCTGTGCTGGGATATTACTATATAAATTTAAACATTTGTTAAAACCTGAGGTTGCTAAAACTGAAATCCACAAGTAAATGGAATCTTAATAGGATTTATTTATTTATTTATTTATTTATTTATTATTTGGCTGTGCTGCGGATTGAATTCCAGGCCACATGCATGCTAAGCATATGCACTCAACTGAGCTATGCCCTAGCTCCTATTTTTAATTTTTAAAGAGCTGGAAATGCAAGACATAAATACTTCTTCAATGAAAACCAATGCATTATTGCAAATGAATCAATCTACTTTGATAACAAACATTCACAATTAACATTACAAATCCCCTACAGAGTTAGGTGCCAATTATTGCTGTTTGGAGAATAAAATAGTTCTATTCCAGCTAGTTGTGACGCTAAGCCAAATACCATTTTATTGAGTCAGTGGCACTCAACCAAACATGAATCACTCCAAAGAACCATACAGTCTCACTTTAATTGATAAAATGGAATGTAAGATTATGAAGATCAATCTGTAGGTACCAGGAGGTTATTAAGGAAACAGCTTAATGGGAAAGTTAGTTTCCCACATGAACTTAAAAGTAAGCAAGCTGAATTTTTTCACTGCAGGGATCATCCTCATACTTCCATCGTCATGGCTACACGGAAATTCACTTACCAGAAAGACCTGGTTGGCACTTTCACTGAGAGTTGAGTCATCTGGGCTGTCAACAGGTGTCTGGCGTGTAAACTTTGAATCAAACTGACTCACATCCTCTTCAGATTGCTTTGTAAGAACAAAACAATTAGAAAATGAACAGGCCAGGCATGGTGGCACCCCTTTAATCCCAGCACTCAGTAGGTAGAGGCAGGCAGGTCTCTGATCTCTGTGAGATGGAGGCCAGCCTGGTCTACATAGCAAGTTCCAAGCCAGCTGGGACTATAGGAAGACACTGTCTCAAAAAATAAAATTATAAATATTCTATTACTCATATCAACAAATGTGTTATGAGCTCTAGATTGCAATAAAATATCAGAATAATCTTAGCTGGTACAAACAACAAAAAAAAATGTAGGTAGATAGTATCAACAGTCAACTTACATCAGTCATTTGTGTTTATGTGTTGCTTGAATTCAAACCCAGGGTAGGAAAATACTCTACCCCTGAGCCAAAGTCTACATCTTCAAATTTTATTTATGAATTAACATAGATTTCTATATATAATTATCATTCCTATTAAAAATATGATTATCAACATCAATTTTCCTCTTCCATAAATTTTCAGTTGTTAGTCTACTGAATAAATCTCTGTTTAGAGATACTTTGCTCAGTCAGCTGGCCACTGCATTGTTTACAGTAAATCTGAAAACTAGTAAGAGTTAAAACAAATCACACTTGTAAGATGATACAGTTAGGGAGTAGGAATACAGTAGCTCAATGGTGAGGCATTTGCCTAGTTATGTACAAATCCTAGTATAAACCCCAGCACTAAAATAGCAATTAAAAATATGATTTATGGGCCCCAGTCACAGAGCCACTGCCAAGGACTCAGCTGCCTCCCCCTCGAGTCCCCTCACTTCCCGATGCTTTGACCTCTCCCACAGCCGCCGCCTTCCACAAGCTGTTTCCACTGAGGGAAAGGAATCGTATTGTATGTCCGCTATCCAGAACCTCCACTCTTTCAACCCCTTTGCTGATGCAAGTAAGGGTGATGACTTGCTTCCTGCTGGCACTGAGGATTATATCCATATAAGAATTCAACAGAGAAACAGCAGGAAGACCCTTACTACTGTCCAAGGGATCACTGATTACGATAAAAAGAAACTAAGAAGAAATTTGCCTGCAATGGTACTGTAATTGAGCATCCAAAATATGGAGACGTAATTCAGCTACAGGGTGACCAGCTCAAGAACGTATGTCAGTTCCTGATAAGAGACTGGACTGGCTAAGGACGATCAGCTGAAGGTTCATGGGTTTTAAGTACTTGTGGCTCTCTGAAGCTTAAGTGAGGACTTCTTTGCAATGAGTAGAATCTCCCTTCTGAACCTTGTCACAAGTTTAAAGACCTTACAGCTTGTATAATGTAACCATTTGGGGTCCACTTTTAGCTTGGATTAATGTAACTCCTTCATGCAATAAACTGAAAAGAGCAAAATTTTTATATATATATATGATTTATGCTGAGCATGGTGGCAAATGTCTCTAATGCTAGCACTTAGGAAGTGGAGGCAAGATCAATGTTATCCTGGGCTACATAGGGAGCTTAAAGTCAGCCTGTGCTACATGAAATCCTGTCTCAAAACAAAACAAAGCAAAAGCAAAATCAAAACAGAACAAAACAAAACAAAAATTACTAAGATGAGATAAGGAGTGGTGGAACATTCCTGAAATTCCAGCACTCAGAATGCAGAGACAAGAGGATCACTATAGTTAGTATGAATGTAAAGCCTGCATGTGTGTCATGCAATGCCTGTGGAGGTGAGAAGAGGTGTCAGATCCACTGGAACTGGAGTTACGGATGGTTGTTAGCTGCCATGTGGATGCTAGGAATCGAACCGAGGTCTTCTGCAACTTAAGCACTGAGCCATCTCTCCAGCTCCTGGATTTGATCATTCTTTAGGGCAGGGACCTGCCATGTGCTGACCCCTATGCTGTAGGTACTAGTAGTAGGCCTTCCTGCAAGTTCTGCCATCCAAAATATTTCTAGATATTGGTCCCTGGTTAAGAACTAGTGACTTATAGACATTCATCAGTGATTACTAAAAGCACTAAGAAAAATGAAACTACACATTAGCCTCCTTGCCAAAGCATATAGTATCAAGAGTTTCATCTGTATCAGATCAAGCAGGGTGAGTGCCAGATTTTAGAAACAAAGGAAACAGATGAACACAGGCAATGACAGACACCATGGGTCAAAATTAAAATGTGAGGAATTCTATAGGACAGATGGGCCAGTTTCTTCAATGAAGCCTCAGGAGAAGATATGAGAGGATAAAAAGCAAGAACTATACTGCATATACACCGTGAATTCTTATTGAAAGTAAAGGAACAAGCAAAAGAAACAACTGAGGAAATGATCAAACTAGGTGTGATGATGGCATATATGCTTACGTTGTTTATGTTTAAAAAAGATAATTTGGTCATTTCTGAAGCTGGGCAGTAGGTATATGAGTTAATTATCTTCCTTACAATTGTGTATGTTGACATTTTAAAGCAGTGCTCCAAATAATCATCATCCTTGTTATCCTCCTCCTTCAACCTACATCCCAAGAAATGGAAAAAGAAAGTATTTTTCCTCAGGTGGATACAAAAACTAAACACTAACTTATTTAACCATAAATATTTTGATGGACTGAATTGTGTTCCCCCACCCTCACAATACTATGGTGACATTCTAACCCCCAGTTCCTAAGTGTGTGTTTGACTTGAAAAGGGTTATTGCAGATGTCATTAATAATGTCCTACCAGTGGTTTCTCTATTCTAAAAAATTACGAGCACTAATAGGGTCCAGAGGTAGAGCCTTGCCTGGAAAGCGCGAAGCCCTAGGTTCAATCTCCAGTACTGGAAAAAAAAGTTACCAGTCTCTCAAATTATAGGCTCTCATATATACATACCAGTAGCGGTTTAAAGGGGGGCTCCACCTTCCGAGCCAGGAGTTCTTCCCAGTTAATGTGTCTGAAAAATGGATGAGCCTAGAAAGAAAGTAGAAAAAGTCAAGGGAAATAGAAGACCTCAACAAACCTTACCTTCTGAAGTTAGCAATCACAAAATAAGCTAGACACTAGAATCCACACATAACCCTTACAAAGAAGCAAAATTCAAATTATCTCCCCCAAACATCAAGCATCTGAATCCCTACTTGGACTTCTCCAGCATCCCCAGGACCAGCTCCAAGTCGAGAAGCAGCATTTCTCTTCAGCAGCTTTAGGGAGGACAAAAGCACAGATGAAATCCTTAGTCAAAAGTGTTTTGTTTTTTTCCCTTTATAGAACACAAGAAAAATCTTTAAATTTGCACTTTGCTTTCAAAAACTACAAGTTTCTGTTCACTCTGGATGACCCTCTAATCAAAACAGATGCTAAATTATTGGATGATCCTCTAATCAAAATAGATGCTAAATTCTTGGATGGGGTCGGGGGGGGCGCTCAAGAGGCCCTACCCCTAGCGGAGAGGGAGAGTCAATTTTCTTGGGGCATGATCACTGGTATCTTGTCCATGTTCCAGTGGATGGCCCCACGCCCATATATATACAGGCAGCACTAACTGGACTGAGTGGGTTATTAAAAAAAAAAAAAAAAAGAGGACTTGACAGTGGGAGGGGACGGGGCTGGGGGTGGAGGGAACTGAAGCAGGAGAGTAGAGGATGGATATGATCAAAAAGCCAAAGAATAAAAAATATTATATACAGGCGCTAAATTCTGTCTCATTAACCCTACCTTTTTAAGCAGATCTCTAGCTTCTTGTGTGAGGTAGGGAGGCAAATTAAGTTTACATTTGAGGATTTTGTCAATTGTTTTCTTTCTGTTCTCCCCGGTGAATGGAGGCTAGGATAGAAAAGAGTAAAACAAATTAGCATATTAAAACACAGTTTAAGTAACAATATTATCTGTTTCCTGAATTGCAATGAGATCAGAAATGTATGCTGTGAAATGATTAACTACTAAAGACTTATAATTTTTAAGCAATGATATTAGAAGTAGCAATGTACTGGTTCAATTAATTTGCTGTGTGACTGATCAGTGATGCCATCTGATTTTATGCTTGAATTTTTCCCTCTGTATTTCATTAGAGTACCATGACATAGGTCATTTAAATAAAAATATTTTTTTAAAAGTATGGAATCCCATGAAATCATAAGGTACCAATAATGTTAAACTGCTGATAACAAATCTTTAAGCTTTGAAAATAACTCCACTGGGAACATTTTCAAAGAGCACAGGGAAGTTCTCTTACTATAATGACTTAATAACTATTCAGCACAGGCCATAATACATGCAGCTTTTAACGTGCACCTACTGCTCCAGTCAGCATGTCATACATTAATGCTCCCAAACTCCACCAATCCACAGCGCGATTGTGGCCACTTCTCATCAAGATTTCAGGGGCCCTACAATGAGGAAAAAAATAAACCTAAAAATTTACTCACTTGTGTAGCATCTGAATTAGAATTATTGATATACAAAGTCAATGATTCTACAGAAAACTAAGATACTATTACTTAAGCCAGATGAAAGTTAGGTATTACCCCCAGACCAGTTATATTTCTTTTAACATGCAGCTCACATGTATTCTATTGTTCCACAAAATGTGTGTGTGACTGTTCCATCATGAATAGATTCTTTGCATAGTCCAAAGTCTGTTAATTTCACGTGACCTACAATGAAAGATTGCAGCATGATTATTCTGAGAATTTTAAGTATATGCAGTGTTTGAACATAGCACACAACTGTTCTTCCATTCAGCTTTTCTTTTCTAAAACTTTTCTTGAAGATGTCAAGAACTGGGTGCTAAGATAAGGTAGTAACTATTTAAAGACAGGGCAGTGCCAATAACAATCAATATGGCAAAGATAAAACAGGGGGAAAAAAAATGAAACAGTTTGTCTAAGGCTCTGGCTTTACCTATACACAGAACCTTGTTCCATCCTGAGAAAGTCTCTTCAAAAGTCTGGTTTAAGTAATATACACCCATAATAAACATTCTGCATTTAAACAAAAATTGTGGCATGCTTCAACTATATTGTTTTTCCACAGTGAACTACTTAAGAGTTCTTACAATAAAGCTGGGCGTGGTGGCGCACACCTTTAATACCAACACTCAGGAGGCAGAGACAGGCGGATCTCTGTGAGTTCGAGGCCAGCCTGGTCTCCAAAGTGAATCCAGGCTAGCTGGGGCTACAGGGAGACCCTGTCTCAAAAAAAAAAAAAATTAGAGTTCTTACAATAGTCTCAGAAAGTCACTATAACAAATTAGCTTACTATGCCAAATGCTATCAGCAGAAATTAAATTGCTTACTGCCAAAAGCAATGCCCACAGTATCTGCCCAGTATCTACCAGTTAAGGGCAAGAAAAGAAACTGGCACAGGATAATCATTTCTATTCCAAAAGGTAGAATTCTACCTTACACAAAGATAATTTCAGTAACTTTAGTATTTCTGAACTGTCATTTAATCAGTGGCTCAACACCACCAAGGGCCATATTATCATCACAGGTTCATCTCAGAGAAATGAGTATCTACTGTATTTTTTTTTTTTTTTTTTTTGAAGCAGGGTCTCCCTGTAGCTCCAGCTGTCCTGGAACTCACTATGTAAACCAGGCTGGCCTTGAACTCACAGAGATCCGCCTGCCTCTGCCTCCCAAGTGCTGGGATTACAGGCATGTGCCATCATACCTGGCTTCTACTGTATTTTAATACAGAAGAAACAGAGCCTTTATCTATGCTCCCTCCCTTACTTTTAAAAAAATACTTTTTCTTTTTTAAAAAATTATTTTTATTTTATGTGTATTAGTGTATTGCCTGCATGTAGTTAAGTGCACCTGTGTCATGCAATGCCCACGGAGGACAGAAGAGGCCACCAGATCCCCTGGAACTGGAGTTACAGACAGTTGTTAGTTGCCATGTGGGTGCTGGGATTCAAACCTGGGTCTTCTGCAAGAACAACCGGTATTCTTAACCGCTGAGTCATCTCTCCAGCCCGATTCTTATTTTATGTGTATGAATGTATTGCCTGCATGTGTGTAAGTGCACCCATGTCCTGCAATGCCTACAGAGGTCAGAGAGGGCGTCGGATCTCCTGGAACTGGAGTTAGGATGGTTATCAGGCACCATGTGGGTGCTGGGAATCAAAGCTGGGTCCTCTGCAAGATAAGTCAGTGCTCTTAACTGCTGAGCCAACTCTGCAGCCCCCTTCTCTAACTTTTTAAGACAAGGTCTGGGTAGGTAGCTCACCTGGCCTCGAACTCACTTATATAGACCAGACTACCCTTAAACCTGATTCTCCTGCTTTAGACTCTCCAGTGCTATAACTATAGGCATGTACCACTATACCTGGCTGTAGCTTCCATTTCTCATAGAAACAAATGGTACACTCAAACTTATGGATCAAAGAAGTTGTTTTACTATTCCATCATTCTCCTGGTTATTTGCCTTAGAACTGAGAATCAGAAAGGTTGGGACCATAGCTCAGTGGTAGCATGTACAAAGAACTGGATTCAATTCCCAGCACAGAAAAACAACTTTAAAGGAATACCTAAACAACAATAAAGAATTCAGAATCAGAATCCAGTTTCGGGATGGGAGTCAGAGGAATAAAGACTTGGTTCCCATGATACGGACTTTGTAAATTTTATCATTTCTCCTTTTTAAAAAGCACCATTTGGAACATTTATATAGATCCCACCATTTTCTGTCCAAGAATGTGAAATGGTTAACTACTTCATGAATCATTCTATAGAGAGCTACGGATGGGCAGCTGCTACCTAGCCTTAGATGCCTCGTCTGCTACTTTGCTCCTTGAAATATGAGTGTAAACTACCCAGTCCAGATTACAGCAGCAGAAATTGAACTGTATATAATAGCATGCAGTTGCAGTCAAGGCTCATTTTGCTATACACATAGCTGTACAGAATATTAGCCACTCTGATTAACCTATCCTTACTAAATATTTTATTTCTGAGGCTCTATCACATACTTTGGTTCAATTTTAGTCTTCCTCCAAAATTAGTTAAAATTAATCGTAAAAAGTTTTGCTTTCTCAGCATAGTGGTGCATCCCTTTAATCCCACACTCAGGAGGTAAGGGGAAGGTGGATCTCTGTTGAGTTCCAGATCAGCCTGATCTTCATAGCAAGCTCCAGGCTAGTCAGGGCTACATGGCAAGACATTAGTTTCCAAAAAAAAAAAAAAAATTCTTTTGCTTTTAGCTGGAAAATGGTGGTGCTACCAGCCTGGGCTATATAGGAAAACTTTGTTTCAGAAAACAAAAACCAAAGTTTTGCTTCTACTATTTATGCTTTTTTATCATTAAAATTCAGAATAGGGCCAAGCATGGTGGTACATGCCCTAATCCCAGCACTCAAGAGGCAGGTGGATGTCTGTGAGATGGAGGCCACCCTGGTCTACATAGCAGATTCTAGGCTATCCTAGTAGAATAAAAAAAACAAAATGTAAAAATTGATGTTTGAACCAAATTTGGGGTCATGACATTTTATATAAATATTATTTTTAAGTTATAAAGAGTAGCTAGTATCTTCAACTCTGTTTAAGCTCAATTATAAACAGTTAAACACTTAAAAAACCAACAAGTATTAAGATGCTATATATTCTGGAGGAGGAAATATAGAATAGAGAAAATACAGGAGCCTTGAACATAAATGGCCATGTTCTGTGTGGAAGGATTTTAAGGTGATTATTACTACAGAATTGTTCATGATGTATCTGCACCTTGGTGATTAAGCATGATGTTCTCCGGCTTCAGGTCTCTGTAGATGATCCCCTTTTGATGTAAATGCCCCAAAGCCATGGAGATTTCAGCCAAGTAAAAACTGGAAACAAAAGTGATTTAATAAAATTTTAAAAAGTAATCTACCTCAAAGCAGTTATATATGGAACAAAATTCCTTGAAAGAAACAAACATGCACCAAAGACCAAATTAGTGGGGGTAGAGGAGCGTACTGGGAAAAAGAGATGACAAAGGATGCTGCCAAAGGCATGGGGACAACATGTGCCACTCATTTCAGTCAAACTATACCAGGTTTATTTTTCCATTAGAACATACTGCTAAAATTGCAAAGATGTCCAGTATATGCTAACTACTAATGATTAGGTTCTGCTGTCTGGGTAAGAATTAGGCCACCAGTCATTTAGATCAAAGTAAATTTCTCCCACCCTCCCTCAACTTTAAAATCCCGTAAGAAAGAGGAACTTGGTTATTCTCAGAGATCAGGTCTTGATCTTTATAACCTGACTACAAGAAGCCCAATTATCCCTTACCTAGTACAGTTACGCATTTATAGACAGCAATGCCCACAGTATCTGCCCTCCCTCTTGCCAGCCAGCCCACAACTATAAACTGTGTGACACTCAAATTTATCTACCTCAAAAGAATAAAGGGCTGAACCAACCCTGTCTGGATTCGAAAAGCACAAAGCACTGCAATACTGGCTGTATAACAAGGTTGCAATCCTGCAGATTACTCCAGGATGGAGAGGGTGTGTCCTAGAGAACTGAGGCAGTTTCACAGCCAGCAGGACCACAGCCTCCAACATGGCTCAGAGAGCCTCCTCCAAAAAAGGGCACTTCATCCCTAATGTTCTTAAATGCAGCTTCTGTGTTAGAAAAGGCCTGAAATTAAACAATGGAATGCAGTTTGGTAATTAAGATAGAAAAAAACATTTACGTGTTTTCTATTTAACATGTAGGCAAAAGTGATTTTTTTGTTACCCAATATGGTCACTTCACAAAAGACTATGTATATATTTTTAATTTGAAGCAGATGCCATCTTACGAATAGGAGGGTAGATCCCACCCTGGCTATGTAATCCACAGATGTGTGTTCAGCCTTACCATCTCCCTAACACTGCACCTTAGGAACTGGAAGGTCTAAAAAAACAAAGAGGAGATGCTTTCCAAAACTTTCCATTGCTCCACATACAAATTTCACTGGAAAACCACACTCACCCACAATCAAGGCAGGCAGCTTACCAATTCAAGGAAACTCTGCTGTGAAGAGCGGTCCACCCAAGGCCTGGGGGCAAAGGAATGAGGTGACCTCCAATAGCATAGCGGCCCAGTCCGGAAGTTACCTTTCCCCTTGAAGTTCTGAGTGAGTGACTGGCTACAGATCAATTTACTGAATCATGTGGCTGCCCACAATGAGAATGCAGTTTCGCTTTTAATTATATGAATCATTATCTGAATCCATGCAACCACAAAAATTACTTACCAAGCCGTGTCTTCCATAAATATTCCCTCTCTTTCTAACTGCATAAATAGTTCTCCTCCTGTAAAAGACATTAGAAATAAAATCATTTTTATTTCCCACCCACTTCTATTGAGTTTATACGTTCATTCTACCTATAAGCAAAGATAGGCTCCTTAAAAATAAAAAATAAATCCTAGAAACTGAGGCTTTAAAGTCTCAGGATGCTACTTTGGACAGCATTCTTATTCTGTGAAACATCTAAGCTTCAAGACTAAAATTGGCTTGGAATTATAGATTTCACATCTGTAAACATATATATATATATATATGTATGTATGTCAGAACCAATGTCAAAAAAAGAATCTTAATTAAAGTCTTTCTAACACTTTCCCTGTATGTAAAAAGCTAGCATATAATTAAGTCACCCTAATTTTAGTGAATGCAGCTATTCCCTATTTTCAAACCTTAAATAAATTCAATGAACCTAACAATGGTACAATTTAAATATCAAAGTAAATACTAATAAAAGGTTATACTCACTTAAGTAATCTTAAAATTCAGGAACCCACAACAATGTAAATACATGAATAGATAAATAAATGAAAAAATAAACGGGGGAGAAAGGAAAGCTCTTTATTGCAGCAGAATGCCAAGTATAATAATAAATGAAGACGACATGATGGAATAAGAAAAATCACTTGGCACAACACCATAGTTAACAGTTATGGTTAAGAATCAATGGATGCCAAAACTAGATCTGAGAGCTTGATGAGATGAGATACTTAAGGGATCCCAGAGTATCTCCTCAAAAGATATTTATTAATTGCAAAGGGGGAAAACATGGCAGACACTACCTTACATGTGACCAAAATGAACATAACCAGCAGTAGGCAAAGACCCAAGTATCATGTACCTCCTGCTCTGAAACACTAAGAAGGAACATAATGCCACTTGAACAGTCGTGTCAAAAATGCATAACCTGAATCCAATCCTAAAGAAATATCAGATAAACACAAATTGATGGCATTTTACAGAAACTGGGCTGTACCCTAAGGCCGGGCATGGTGGCGCACGCCTTTAGTCTGAGCACTTGGGAGGCAGAGGCAGGCGGATCTTTGTGAGTTCGAGGCCAGCCTGGTAGTGAGTTCCAGGCCAGCTGGGGAGACAAGGAGACCCTGTCTCAAAAAGACAAAAAAAAAAAAAAGTCAACATAATGACAAAGAAGACAGAGAACTGTTTCACATTAAAGAAAACTAAGAGATAGTATAGTAATGTCAATTCCCTAATTTTTTTTTAACTTTAATATAGTTACATAAGATATTGTCCATAAGTTTAGAAAGTAAATGCTCAAGTTTTAGGAGTAAAAGGAAACAGTGTCTTATAACACTCTTGAACCAGTAATAAATGTATGGGTATATTTATGTATATATACATGTACACATGCATAAACAGAGAAAGAAAACAGATGTAGTGAAATGACATTTGGAGAATCTAGGTAAGGCAGTATATGGGAGCTCTGTACCAAATTTTTTATGTGAATCTGAAATTGTATCAAAAAGTTCTAAGAGGGGCTGGAGAGATAGCTCAGTAGTTAAGAGCACTGGCTGCTCTTGCAGAGGACCTAGGTTCGATTCCTGGCACCCACATGGTGGCTAACAGCCCCAGTTCCAAGGGATCTGACGCCCTCTTCCGGCTTCCATGGGCATTACATAACACAGGTGCACTTAATATGCATGCCAACAATACACTCATCAACATAAAGTAAAAAAAAATTTCTTTTTAGAAATCATAAGAAAAAAATAGCCCTAATAGCGGGACATGGTGGCTCATGCTGTTAATCCCAGCACTGGGGAGGCAGAGGCAGCCGGATCTCTGTGAGATGGAGGCTAGGCCAGTCTATGTAGGGAGTTCTAGGCCAGGTTAGTTGAGGCTATATGGAGACCCTGTCACAAAAACTCAAAAAAAGGAGCTTTAATTAAAAAAAGAACTAATTTCTTAAGCCTTCTAGTCCATGTTATGAGCTACAACATCATCTGCTTCTTGGGAATCCCAGGTGTGTTTGCTGGAGATGGGTGCCTGTGATTTAGAAAGGATATGGGGGACCATGTGTGGTGGCACACACCTGTAATCCCAGCACTTAAGAGGCTGAGGCAGGAGTAATGGAAGGCCCACCTAAGCTACAAAGTGAGTTCCAGGCCAGCTTGGGTTATAGAATGAGACCTGCCTCAAAAAAAATGAAAGAAAGAAAGCGAGGTGTGGTGGCACACGCCTTTAATCCCAGCACTAGAAAGGCAGAGGCAGGTGAATCTCTGTGAGCTGAGGCCAGCCTGATCTACATAGGGAGTTCTAGGCCAGCTGGGAATGCAGGGAGACCCTGTCTCAAAAAGACCAAAAAAGGAAAAAGGTGACCTAGGGAGCATTAACTTGCTGGCAGGTGGCAGGCCCTTAGAAATGTGGTTGAAAGATATAATTCCAAAAATATCCAGTTACCTTAATATTGTTTTCCCATTTCAGTTTAGAAAGGAATATTTTAATGGCATATTTGAATTATATTGCTCTATCCCAGCTTATTACTGTTAAATAATTGATTACAAAGAGAATAAGATATAATTTTACAGACAAGAAAATACCTTGAAAGTTTCTTTCATATCTCCTTACTTCAATGTATTCATCAACTTTAAGACCTGATCACAATGGAAAAATCATTTTTTCACTGGAAAATATTTCAACCAGGTTTCTGGAGCAAATGTAAATAATTACACAAACTATGTACTGACCACTGAGATACTCAAGGATGAGGTAGAGTTTTCCACCGGTCTGAAAGGCATAAATTAAGTCCACAATGAAGGGATGCTTTACTTCCTCCAGAATACTCCGCTCTGCCTTTGTATGAGCTGTGTCTTTAGCATTTCTTACTATCATTGCCTAAAGGGAAAGAGATGATCTATAAGAACAAAGCAGTGAGCATTTTCATCCTAAAATAGCTGGAAAAATCTATTTTGTGCTTTTCTGGCTAATACTGAATAGTTCCTCCTAGAACTGAAAAGGGAGTAAGGAAAGTACTCAGTGCTTATAAATATCTAAGCTCTTTGGGGTTTTTATAATAAACGCGTAAATGAAAACCTAAATATATTCTTCTAAGAATCTGATTCTAAGAAACATTAAGTTTATGCACATATTCACTAACAATTGAGTGTTTAATATGCTCCAGGCTTTATGCCAAGACAGTAGACCTAACATAAGGAATCAGGGGAAAAAAATAAGTCAAAAGAGGCAAGCACAGAGCTCTATGGCTAAGCAGGGGAATTATACTCAACCTGGCAAGAAGCCTTCCTGGAAGTGATGATACAAACTGTTAAGGTTAAATGTGAATGGTAAAAAAAGGCATTCCAATGGAAAAGTGATCTTTCAGGACAGGCTGTGTCTGGAGATCCAAAAGGAAATTGGTGCTGACAAGTAGTTAGAGATTAAGAGGCCAGGAAGTAGTGCAGCTAGGCAAAGGCACTGATATCTCAGAGACAAAGAAGATATAGTGACATAAGCGTAATGAAGAACCTTCAACTTTAAGAAAAACAATGCTAGTGAAACTGTGGAGTTCTAGGGAAGAAATGAGACTAGGTAGAAGGCTAGTAAGAGGAAACAAAGGAAAGTGAGCTGGAACTAAGAAAATGAAGGTAGGAAATAGAAAATAAGAAAGGCCCAGGTTTGTCATTGTTGGTTGCATACTCCAGTAATTCTAGCACTTAGGAGATAAAGGCAGGAGGAGCTAGAGTTCAGGGCTAGTCATTGATATTATCAAGTTTAAGACCAGCCTGAATTACATAAGATACTATCTAAAAAAAAAGTTTTACGGAAATTATGTGCTGTTTTGGACATACTCAGCCTAAATTCTAAGAAATTATCCTATGCTAAATCCCTAGTAATATGGGGAAGCAAAAACAGAAGATTATTAGTCGCAACACTATCTACAAACATGGAAACACTAGAAACATGGTAAATGCCCACAAACAGGATATTGGCTAAAGCCTATGGAATCTACACAACATGTGGTAGTGAGGGGGGGAGCCATAAAAAAGAATAAGTAACATTTCTATGAAGGTCAGGTGCAAAAGAACATAGAAATTTCAGCGTATTTACAGCACATATAGTACACACTAAGTTTTGTGAAAGAGAAGAAATGAGTATATACCTAAGGTAGGCATAGTGGCACAGGCCCATAATCCCAGCACTTAGAAGGCTTAGGCAGGAGGACCAGAAGTTTGAGGTCAGCCTAAGCTGGGCTAGAGTGAGCTCAAGGCCAGTCAGAACAATAATAAGACTGTCTCAAAAAAAAAAAAAAAAACAAAAAAACAAAGAAACCTGCATGTATCTGTTTGTCTGTGTAAAAATAAACAATTAAGAGGGCTGGAGAGATGGCTCACCAGTTAAGACCACTGACTGCTCTTGCGGAGGACCCGGGTTCAATTCCCAGCACCCACATAGTGGCTATGAACTGTCCTTAACTCCAGTTCCAGGGGAATCCGAAGCCCTCTTCTGACCTCCAAGGCATTGCACGACTCACATACACGCAGGCAATATACTCATACACATAAAATAAAATTAATAAATAAAATATTTAAAAATAAATAAGCCAGGCGTGGTGGCACACACTTGTAATCCCAACACTTGAGAGACAGAGGCAGGCAGATCTTTGTGAGTTCGAGGCCAACCTGGTCTACGTAGCGAGTTCCAGGCCAGCTGGGGCTACAGGGAGACCCTGTCTCAAAAAGACCAAAAAAAATTTTTTTTGATTTCTGAATCATGTTAATGTTTTCACACATTCTAATAAAATGTAATCAAATATGGACGTATAAAATAAAACTAGGCACAACAGGTATATGGCATACATGATGGCATACACCTTTAATCCCGAAATTGTGGAGGCAGAGGCAGAGGAAGAGGCAGAAGCAAGTGTATCTTGTTGAATTAGAGACCAGCCTAGCGAAGAGAGTAGGCCAGCCAGGGCTATACAGTGAGATGCTATCTCAAAAATAAAAAAAATAGCCCGGCATGGTGACACACACCTTTAATCCCAGCACTTGGGAGGCAGAGGCTAAGGGATATCTGTGAGTTCGAGTCCAGCTTGGTCTATATAAGGAGTACCAGGCCAGCTGGACTACAAGAAGATCCTGTTTCAAAAAGACCAAAAAAACAAAAATAAAAAAATAAAAATTAAGGCCAGGTGTGGTAGCACACACCTTTAATCCCAGCACTTGGGAAACAGAGGCAGGCGGATCTCTGGGAGTTCAAGGCCAGCCTGGTCTACATAGTGAGTTGGGGCTACAGGGAGACCCTGTCTCAAAAAGACCAAAAATAAATTAAAATTAAATAATAAAATAAAAAATGGGAGTGGCAGAGGGAAGGGGTTGGAAAGGTGGCTTAACAACTAAGCACAGGCTGTTCAGTTCCCAGCACCAACATGACAGCTAACAACCAGCTATAACTCCAGTTTCAGGGACTCCAACACATTCTTCTGATCTCCATGGGCATTGTACACTCAAAATGCACTTACATACATACAGGCAAAACATTCATACACATAAAGCAAAAATTAAATTTTAAGAGAAATATTACATATAATTTTATTACAGGAACAGAAAGAAAAATACTAAGTAACTTTAAGCTATACAATCTTGGACTGAGGATGTAGCTCAGTTGGTAGTTGGTAGAATGCTTTGTCTAATATGCTTGAAGTCCTGGCTTCCATCACTAATACCATATAAGCCCCGTGTGGTGGCACAAACCTGTAATCCCAGTACTCAAGAGGCTGAAGCAGGAGGACTGACATTAGTTTGAGGCCAATCTGGGCTACACAGCAGGTCCATGCAAGCCTAAGCTACAAGTGTGATAGCTTATCTCAAAAACAAGGGGGACCTGGAGAGACAGCTTAGCAGGTAAGAGCACCTGCTCTCACAGAAGACCTGGGTTTGGTTCAAAGCACCCACAGTTGTCTTTAACTCCAGTTCCAAGAGATCTGACACTTTTTTCTGGTGTCCTCCTCAGACACTGCACACACTAGGTACACTTATATAATGTGTAGACAAAACACACACATAAAATAAAAATAAACAAACTTTTTAAGAAGAGCTTTCTGGGCATGATGGCACAACCCTTTAATCCCAGCACTCGGGAAGCAGACAGGCAAAAGTCTATGAGATCGAGGCCAGCCTGGTCTACACACCAAGTTCCAGGCCAGCTGTGGCTACAGGGAGACCCTGTCTCCCCAGAAAACAAAAAATAAGCAATATTTAAGAACCAAAATGAGGACTGGAGAGATGGCTCAGCGGTTAAGAGCACTGACTGTTCTTGCAGAGGACCCAGGTTTGATTCCCAGCACCCATATGGCAGCTACGAACCATCCTTAACTCCAGTTCTAGGGGAATCCAAAGCCCTCTTCTGACCTCCATGGCATTGCATGGACATGGGGGCACTCACATACATGCAGGCAATACACTCGTACACATAAAATTAAAATAATAAATAAAATATTTTTTTTAAAAAAAAAAGAACCAAAATGAGAGGTTGGAGAGATGGCACAGTGGTTTACAAGCACTGGGCTGCTCTTACAGAGAATCTGGGTTCAATTCCCAGCACCCACATATTGGCTAACAACTACTTGTAAATCTAGTTCCAGAAGATCCAACACTGTCTTTTGACCTCTGTGAATATTGCACACACAGGTGTACTTACATACATGAATACAAAATACTCATACACACAAAATAAAAATAAACTAAAAAAAATTTTTTAGAACCAAAATGAATGGAAACTAACTCCACACTGATTTTTTTTTTAGGGGACGTTTTGAGATAGGGTCTCACTTTGGAGCCCAGACTGGCCTCAAACTAGCAGCAATCCTCTTGCCTTAGCTTCCTGAGTGTTAAATTATAGGCATGAACTCAGCTCATACTGATTCTTTACTTCTTGAAAAAAGATCCTCCTTTATTGCCCATACAGGTCTTGAATTCATAAGCTCAAGTGATCTTTCTGCCTCAGTCTCCCCATTAACCCCATGGAACTAATGTTGTGACCACTGCCCCTGGTATCAATTCTTTTTTCTTTTTCTAAACTTTTTTTCTTTCTTTTTTTTTTTTGGTCTCATGTATCCCAGGATGGCCTCAAACCTTAAACTTCTGATCCTCTTGCCTCCCAAGAGCTGGGATTACAGCCATGGATGTGCTACCATGCAATGTTTCATGTAATGTTATGGATCACTGCACTGTTCTTGTAACTCTTTGGAAAATATGAAAAAACTCAACCATGTACTATATCGTTTTTTTAAGTATTTTTATTTTATGTATAAGAATGTTTAAACAAACAAACAAAGTGCACCATGTGTTTACCTGGTGCCTACAGAAGCCAGAAGAGGGTGTTGGATCCCTGGAACTGGCGTTAAGGACAGGTGTTCAGCCACCATGTGGGTGCTGGGAACCAAACCTGGGCCCTCTGCAAGAGCAGTAAGTGCTCTTAACCACTGAGCCTTCTCTCCAACCCAAATAAATATACTTGAACTGCTCAAGAGGTTTGAGGGTTTTTTTTTTTTTTTTTTTGGAGACAGGGCTTTTACAACATAGCCCTAGCTGGCTTGAGCTCAACGAGATCCTATTGCCTCTGTCTATTCACTTTTGGGATTAAAGGCGTGAGCTGCCATGTTCTCTGGGCTTAAACTTTTTAAATTAGCCCTTGGGCAGAAGTCTGAGAAGACAAGGGAATCAAAGATTGGATGAAAAAAAGAAACCAAAGTACTCATCACAGAACTGTGGAAATGAACAGCAAGCCCCAATCTTAATCAAAGAATTGTTGGCAGCTGATTACTGCTGGGTGAGGAAGAGCTGATCTTCTTGAAGGGAGAAACTCTAGATAGGCTGACTAAACCCTAGTGGATGAACTTGCACTGAGAGACATCTCGGGACAGTAACTTTACATAATAGGCCTTAATATAAATGACACAATGTATGAACTCCAGCAGGGGAGCTGTGAGAGGGTGCCAAAGGGGAAGGGGGAGGGGGTATAAAGATGACTTTATGTATGAAATACACACAAATTCAATAAAAAATTTAATAAAAAAAAAGAAAAATAGACTCACAGCAGTCAAGAGAGCAGCTCAAAAAGCTGTGGTAAATAGCTTCAATGCAAAGAAATGTAAATTAAGTAAAGACTATTGGTTTAGCGATTAGGAAGTCAGTAATGACCTGAAGACAAGAATTCCATTGAAATAGTAATAAGCAAAAATACTAAGAATGAAAACCAAACACAACTTGAAAAACCAGAGGTATGGCTGGCAAGATGGCTCAGCAGGTAAAAGTGCTTGCTGTGAAGGCAAGTAACTCAAGTTTGATCCCTGAGACCCAGATGGTGGAAGGAATGAACCAATTCCTGGAAGTTGTCCTTTGATCTACACACACTCTATGGCATACATGTACATACACAAGTACAAGCGTGAACATGCACACAGGAATACACATATATGCGCACACACACACACAAATGGAAAAAAAGGAAGAAAAGGAAAAAGCAGAGATGGTAGGTAATGTAGCCCCTACTTCTCAAGTTCAGTTCTGAAGCTATAACAATTAAACCTTGAGAGAAGTGAGGTTTTGCTTAAACATGTCACAGACATGCATATATTTAAAGAAAGAAAGAAGAAGTCAGGAGAGCTGGGCATGGTTGCACATGACTTTAATCCCAGAACTCAGAAGGATCACAAGTACTAGCTTGGGCTATATAACAAAATCTCACACAAGAAAAGAAGTCTTGGGCTTCAAGTCAAGATAGCTCACTGGATAAAAGTGCTTGCCATGCAAGCTTGACAACCTGAGTTAATCCCTGGAACCTGCATAAAAGAGTCGGTATGCATCTGTAATCCTGGTACTCCTATTCTGAAATAGGAGACAGAGACAGGAGAATTGGCTGAAAGTTCATGGACCAGCTAGCCTAGAGTATGAACTGTGGCAGAAACAATAAGATGGAAGAACTGACTTCCTAAAGCTGTCCTCTGACCTCCACACACACATCATGATACATGAAAGCAAACAAACATACATAAAAACAAAAAAATTAAAACAAAGTCAGGATAGAGGATAGAATGAGAGAGCTTAAGTAACAGAGTAAAGCAGCCAAACAGTAGAAAGGGATGGGATCCAAAACTGAGAAAGGTTATGTTCAGAAAGGAAGAACACATTTCACTACAACTAGAGAGAAAAAAGAAAAGACAAGTAAAAATGCAGAGAAGACAACCAGCATGAGAAGTGGAAAGAAACCAGATGACTGTCTCAAAAGGTAGGGGAGCAGAGTGATGGAGGCTGGACAAAAGGAGCACAGGGGCTGAGAGTGAAAGCTCTGAACAGCTACAGAGAATGGAAGGGTTTATGCAAGGAGATGCCAGAACGTGGCTGGGATACTCAAGACCAAATGTATCATAAAGTGGAGTTGGAGTTTATGAACTCTTCCCCAAAGCAATCTACAAATTCATGAGATTCCTGCCAATAAAGCTCAGTGACTGAGACAGGAATAGGGACAACAGAGCTGATTCAGATTAGGACTTCCCTGAACATAAAGTACAGTGAGGTAGCAAGTGAATGAAGTGGCAGATCCTATTGATTAGGTTGAACTCAGACAAAAATAAGAACACTAACAACTTGACATGGAAGTGGAAACTGATGGAGTTGAAAACAGCAATGAATGAGAAGGCTAGACTATTGATTGGGTAAATACAAAGACAATGAAGATACTCAGCAGAATAAGACTTGGATGTTAGAAGAAAAAGACCAAACTAGGTATTTGTGAATTTGAAGAGAAAAAACAAGGAAACTATAGGTCAATAGGTCAGTCCGTCCGTCCATCCATCCATCCATCCATCCATCCATCCATCCATCCAAGAGATAGGCTTAAATCGCAACAGGAAAAGGGTTTTGATCATACAGCAGATGAGTACATTTAACAATATGGTTATTCATTCTTCCTTAAAAGAATAGGTAAGTTAGAGGTAGAGAACACATTTCCTCTAAATTAAAAATACTAGCATCTAGCATAATATCTGCCACACTGGTTCAGAAAAAGGGGGAATACAAGCGTAGGCAACATTGTAGGCCACAAACCTTTGGTTAAAGATTCTAAATTTTACAATGCAGGTGAATGAATGCCTTAAGCAAGAGTAGTTTGCTTCCAAGGTACACTTTTGTAGCAAACGGTAGAGTAAGAAGATGGTTACTGATAGTCTCTTCCTCAACGTTCTGAGTAAATAACCAAATGAGACCATTCCTATAAAGAATGAACAGTCTGATAAACCCAAAAGAATGCCCAGATGTGAACAACTCACTTAAAATTTTAAGGCAGGGGCTGGAGAGCAAGCTCAGCAGTTAAGATCACTGGCTGCTCTTGCAGAGGACCTGGGTTTGACTCCCAGCACCCATGATGGCTAACAAAAATTCCAGGAAATCTGATGCCCTTTTCTGACTTCCGAAGGCATTGCACAAGCTGGGTGTACCTACCTATATGCAAGCAATACCCTCATACACATAAAATAAAAATAATAAATAAAATATTTTTTTAAATAAACAATAAGACACCTGGCTCTCCTCTGATTTAATCTTTAAGTCTGGTAAACAGGCATTCTCTTACCACCAAACATTTAGGTGTGGGGGGGGTAGTACTCTGCCTCCAGCACAATAAAACCAAAAGGAAAAAACCTGAATCTATTATCATCAAATCTAGAGATATAGGGATTAAAACCTTGGATGTATTATAAGTATGTTTAACAGGATCTGAACATTATACAATGCATACATGCATTGAAAGATTACATGAAGGGAAGAAAGATGGATCAGTAGGTAAAAGTACCTGGTTCCAAGCCTGATAACCTGAGTTTGAACACTGAGGTCCATGTAGTAGAAGGATAGATTCCCACCTGGTGGAAGGAGAAACCAGCTCCAGAAAGGTGTCCTCTGACCTCCAAAGGTGCGCGCCATGGCATGCATGCGCCCCACCCCAAAAGCACACAAAATAAATAAAAAGTAATTTTAAAATGTTTTAAGCTGGGCGCGGTGGTGAATGCCTTTAATCCCAGTACTCAGGAGGCAGAGGCAGGTGGATCTCTGTGAGCTCAAGGCCAAACTGGTCTACCTAGTGAGTTCTAGGACAGCTGGGGCTATAGGGAGATCCTGTCTCAAAAAAAAAACAAAAACCCAAAACAAAAAAATATATAATAATTTAAAGTAAATCTTTAAGCACTCTTTCTCAAGTCAGATGGTGACTAAACAAGGGAACAGGGCATAAATGAGGAAAATGACAGCCATGAAAAGCAGAAAACAAGATTCAAGACTGAAGGAGCAGAGATTCTCTAGTCATGACCACTCTTCCTGAGAGTGAACAGTACAGATAGAAATGGGATTAGGAGTTTCATAAATAAGTCAGGCACAGTGCTATACACTTGTAATCCCAACACTCAGAACATAAAGGCAGAAGGATCAGAAGTTAAAGACTGGTCTTTGCTACATGAGACCCTATCTCAAAAATACAAAAAAAAAAAAAAAAAAAATAGAGAAAAAAATAATAGTATTTTCAATGAAAATGAACTAAAAGGAGGATAGGAAAAAAGGGAGGTTAGGATTGAAAAAAATTAAAATCCTTAACAATGATAAGAGGAAGTCAATATACAATCTAAACTGAATTGAAAGGCAGCAGTATATGTTTATTACTTAGAAATACAGGACCAGCCGGGTATGGTGGCATGTGGCTTTCATCCTGCTACTCAGGAGGCCCAGGCAGGGAGATCTCTGTGAGTTTAAGGCCAGCCTGGTCTAGATAATGAATTCCAGGCTGGTCAGTGATGCTTATTGAAACCCTGTTTCAAAAAAACAAAAGAAATATGGAGACAGAAAAGGCTGAGTTACCTCAGATAAAAATTTAAAGTGCTCTCCTTTCTACCCTCACCAGAAATAAAACAAGAAAAAAAACAAAATACATCCCAGTCTACAAAGACATGGTTAGAAATACTTTTTTGGAGGGGTACTACAAACTAAACTAAGGCCTCATGTAGGTTACATGCACTTTACTACTCAGTTACAAGCACAGCACCTAGAGACACATTTTTGAGACTAAAAAATTTTATGCCAAAATAGGGATAAGATATAGCTAGGGAATGAAAGAGGGGAAGGATTACCTTTTTAAGCACCTTCATGGCAAATATCTTTCCAGTATTTGCTCCTGTTACTTTTCGTACTTGAAAAACCTGGACAAAATTAAGTTTGCATGTGATTAAAAGTCAAACCATGCAGATCATCTTCCATAATTCCCACTTGTAAGAAATATGATACAGTAATTTATACTGTACAAACTAGCATGAAAAAGGACTGTGCACAAAAATGATCCATCCAAAGAGACCACATTTTAGGAGTTCCTAGAGAAATCTGTTACATGCGACGTTCCATGGCCTGCTGCCACCTGGTGGCAATGTTGGGAAGCAGCCATCCAAACAGCACGCAGCTATTTTTACTTTTATACATTTACTTAGCACAAACTATCAGTGTTCCCAAACTTAAAACCTAAATTTCTTCAAGAAATGCCTTTGTTATTCCTTTATATGAACTTAATAATAATGGACAGAAGATTTCCATTCATCCACTCCATTAAAATGGCTTGTTATTTATTACGCACTCTTAATTAACAACCAAAATATATACGATTGAACAAAGTACATGTGTTACATGTTCAGGATGATTAGAACATACTCCAGTGTGGCCTTAACCCTAAGAATAAACTACAAAGGTCACACTTTGCAAAAATTAACACTATTTAGTAAAAATAGTTCTTAATTTTAAATTATTTTAATTGCCATTTAATTTTTTAAAGTATTTTATTATTTTCATTCCATGTGTATGCGTGTATTGCCTACATGTAGGTAAGTGCACCCGTGTCATGCAATGCCCTCGGAGGACAGAAGAGGCTGTCAGATCCCCTGGAAATGGAGACAGTTGTTAGCTGCCATATGGGTGCTGGGATTTGAACCCGGGTTTTCTGCAAGAACAGCCAGTGTTCTTGACTGCTGAGCCATCTCTCCAGCCCCCTTAATTGCTATTTAAAAGTGACTGTCTAGAGATAAGTTTTCTTTGGCAAAACACATAAAGAGAAATTAGAAAGCCTTGGGTAAAAATATGAAACTCCTTTCTTAAATTATTTGTTTTCCTAACTATTTCTTAAATACAGAGAAAATTCTAATTAAGATCTCAGTTGCACATAATTTAATGTGCATGACTTAAAAGTAAGGAACCATTTGTTGGTTTGTTCATGTTCAAAGTGGATACCAACGCAAGGTAACATTTGGTCAAAGAAGAGAATCAGTTCTCTAACAGAGCTTACCTGGCACAATTACCTACTCATTTAGTCAATAAATAATGAGTACCTATATTATTTGTGAGAGTTTTCTATGTGTGTAGTGGAAGATTAAAAGGAAGGAAAACTGGTCTTATATCCCACAATCATAGCAAATCACTGTCAGATCCTATACTGACAGTAAATAACTACTGTAACCAGTTCATAAAAAGAAAAAAGAAAAAAAAGAAAAAAGAAAATCAACCACCCAAGAGAAAAAAGCTATTTCAAAATACTTCCTACCTTTCCATAGCCCCCTTTACCAAGTACCCGAAGTAGCTCAAAGCATTCTGGTCTGATTTTTTCTGGCCCTCGGTTCACACTAGTTTCTGATATTTCAAATTTCTCACAATGTTCCATGCCACTGGGAAGAAAAGCAAAACCAAAAGTAAATTTTCGAAGTTAAATTATCTCCAGTACACTGTTAGAAGAAAGCAGAAAAAGTAATGCACTCTAAGTAGAAGGAAAAAAGCACATGACAGGACATTTAGTATCTGTGATCTAAGTAAACTGATGCCTCAATAACATGGCAGGGTCAAGATTGAGGTGAGCTAGTGTTTATCTGCTTGTTCACAGAATGTTCCATTGATTATTTTCCTAAGCATCAAGCTCCTCCAAACTAAGGAAAATGAGAGCAAGTTTATTAGGCTGACAAAGGAAACAAGCCTTTTAGTTATTCAAATTTAATTCATTCAAAATGTTCATGAGCTTAGGTATTATCCAATATCATTTGGCAACCAGCAGAAAATAAAGGATCTTTCAGAAACTTCCCAATGAGTTCAATTTTTTCTGAAATATTTTATTTATTGCTTTTTATGTGTATGAATTGTATTGTCTGCATGTGTATAAGTGCACCCATGTCATGCAATGCCCAAGGAGATCAGAAGAGGATGTCAGATTCCCTGGAACTGGAGTTTTGGGCAGTTGTTAGCTGCCTTGTGGGTGCTGGGAATCGAACCCAGGTCCCCTGCAAGAGCAGCCAGTGCTCTTAACCACCGAGCCATCTCTCCAGCACCCAATTTTTTTTAAGATTTATTTTTATTATTTTTGCTTTTTTGTTTTTTTTTTTTTTTTTTTTTTTTTTTTTGATCAGGGTCTCCCTGTAGCACCAGCAAACCTGGAACCTCCCTATGCAGACAAGGCTGGCCTTTAACTTACAGAGATCCACCTGCCTCTACCTCCTGAGTGCTTGGGATCAAATGCATGTGCCACCACACCCAGCTTATTTTTATTATTTTTAATTATGTAAATGCATGTGCGTCTGAATGTGTGTGTATATACATGTTGAGTGCTAGTGCCCTCAGAGGCTAGATGTGTTGGATCCCCTTAGAACTGGAGTTACAGGTGGTTGTGAGCTGCCCAATGTGGGTGGCTGCAAACTACACCCAGTTTCAGAAAGCGCTCTCAACTACTGATCCATCTTTCCAGCCCCCTAATCAGTTCATCTTTATGCTAATACTTTTTTTTTTTTTTTTTGCAGAGGTGTAGCAGGATAGTGATGGAGATGGGGGAGGGGTCTGAATATGCTCAAAATGCACTGTACAAAATAAAATTCTGGATCAAAAAAAAATTTTTTTTTTTGGTCTTTTTGAGACAGGATCTCCCTGTAGCCCCAGCTGGCCTGGAACTCATTATAAAAATATTTTTTAATTCTTTTAATTTTATTTTATGTGTATGAGTATTTTGCCTGCATGTACCTTGTAAATGCACTCATGTATACAAGGCCTGCCTGTGGAGGTCAGAAGAGGGTGTTGGATCCCCTGGAATTGGCATTTAGGACAGATACCTGCAACATCAGTGCTGGAAACCGAACCCAGGTCCTCTGCAAGAGCAGCCAGTGCTCATAAAGGCTGAGCCAGCTCTCCAGCCACTCTTTTTTTTTTGGGGGGGGGGGGGTATGAGAAGACAGGGTTTGTTCTACAGTCCAGGTTTATCTCGAGCTCAATAGGTAGTCCATGCTGGCCTCAAACTTTTAGTCATCCTCCTACCTCATCCTTTTGAGTGCAAGGATTACAGACCTGCACCAATCCTCCGCTGCCCCAGATTTGTTTTGTTTAAAAATTCTTGACAATAGAGGCTGGAGAGATGGCTCAGTAGTTAAGAGCACTGGCTGATCTTGCAGAGGACCTGGGTTCGGTTCCCAGCACCCACATGGTACCTAACAACCATCAGTAACTCCAGGTCCAGGGGAGGGGATTCAATGTGCCCTTCTGGCCTCTGTGAGTGTTCACATATGTTTTTTTTTTTTTTTATTTTACATAGAAGCAGACAAAACACTCATAAGAAAAAAGTAAATCAAAATAAAGTTTTTTAAAATTTTGATAATAATAAATTGCTGGGCGTGACAGTGCACACCTTTAGTCCCAGCACTCCGGAGGCAGAGGCAAGCAGATCTCTGTGAGTTCAAGGCCAGCCTAGTATACATAGTGAGTTCCAGGCCAGCTGGGGCTACAGGGAGACCCTGTCTCAAAAAAAATAAAAAATAAAATAAAGTTTTGATAATAAAATTTATTCATGTCTACTTCCCATGCATGACTTTTCAAATTACTAGCTTAGGGACTCCAAAGGGGTGGTAATTGTGCCTGTCACAGGCTTGTTTCTTATGTGAGTAATCTATCTTCTTACCAAGGCTCTTTACACTTGAGGGTGGAGTACAGAGATTAATCACCACACTTACATAACAGAACCTGTTTAACATGACTCAACATTGCATTGACATCTGTTTGAATGGTATAGTGTTTTGGGGGCACTGGCACAAATTTTTCAGTAAAAGTTAGAAATATAGTTTTCTATATTAAATGAATAAAAATCCCTAATCACCTCAGACTCATATTTAGCAGACACTGAATTTGAGTCTCTTTTTCCCAAAATCTACACATGATTCCACACTTCTGAATGTTATACTCAGCACTTCAATAGGCCAAATGTGTAAATATGAGCAATGTTTCAAAACAGGTTACTGGAATCCCTAATGGCTCAGCGCCAATATAACCTACATGAGAGACAGCACAAGGAGAACTTTCCATGCACTTACAGTTCATATGGTCCAACGCCCCCATGGTCCATGCTTTCGTTTAACTGACCCTGAAAAATATGTTATTTTAGAAATAAATAATCCCAGAAACATAAAATCTTTTAAGTTTAATGCTTTATCTCATAATCAAGAGAAGTAATAAACAAATGTAAATTTTCTTCTCTACTTCACTATGAGGCACATATCGTAGTGAACAAAATCAAGCACATGGACAGTGCTATGGGGATTTAGCTTTCAATTTTTTTTTTTTTTTGATCTTTTTGAGACAGGGTCTCCCTGTAGGCCCAGCTCACCTGGAATTTGCTATGTAGATCAGGCTGGCCCTGAACTCACAGAGATCCGCCTGCCTCTGCCTCCTGAGTGCTAGGATTAAAGGCATGCACCACCACACCTGGCCAATTTTTTCTTATTTTTAATTTTATATGACAACTAACTACAGAGGTGCTACTCATTCGATCTAAAAGCAAAACCAGACTTTTCCTTCAAAAATCATATTATTGTCTATTAACAATCATGACTTTTGTATTATGAAAATAAAGGCATCATGTTCTGAGTTACTAAATGAAATGAACCAGGTGTGGTGGTGCACATCTTTAATCCCAGCACTGAGGAGGCAGAAGGTGGCAGATTTTTGTGAGATGGATGCCAGCCTGGTCTACATAGCAAATTCCAGGTGAGCTGGGCCTACAGGGAGACCCTGTCTCAAAAAAAAAAACCCAAACCCAAACCAAAAACAAACAAATAAACAAAAGGTAAAAAGGAGCCAGGCCTGGTGGCATAGACTTACAATCCTAGCTATTTGCTTAGGAGACTGAGATAGGAGGATCATCAAAATTCAAGGCCTGCCTGAACTACAGAGTGCGTTCATAGCCATCCTAAACAATGAAATGAGAGCCATCTCAAAAAGCAAAAGGTGGCCTGGGGATAGAGATCAGTGTTAGAGCACTTGTCTGGTATGCACAATGCCCTCAGTTTGATCCCCAGTACAGCCAGTCCCTCCCCTCAAAAAATAAAAAGTGAAAAGAAAACCTACAGAATAAATGATAAAAAGATGAATAACTCAAATTTGAAAAATGGATTAGGATCTGAATCACTATTTCTCCAAAGATATAAAATGGACAACAAGCACATAAAAAGATATTCAACATTAGTACTTGGAAGGAAGTTGTAAAGCAGAGACTCACCAAGCTCCATCTTTGTACTCACTAGGATAGCACAGTGGGGAGGGGGAAGTGGGGAGAAAGAGAAGAGAAGGCAGAGAGAGAAGAGAGAGAAGAGAAAGGGGGGAGAGAGGTAGAGCGATCTGGCTTCTTCAGAAGAATCAAAGGCAACAAGACTAGAACTAAGTTGGGGCAGGATATAGAAAAAACTAGACCTGTCACACACTGCTAGTGTGAATGTAAAATGGTGTGACTACTTCAGAAAACCATCTGGTAATCTCTTACAAAGTTAAACATGGGTGATGGAGAGATGGCTCAGCGCTTAAGAACACTGACTGCTCTTGCAGAGGAGCCGGATTCGATTCCCAGCACTCACATGGTGGCTACCAACCATCCTTAACTCCAGTTCCAGGGGAATCCGAAGCCCTCTTCTGACCTCCTTGGAACTGCATGACACGGGTGCACTCACATACATGCAGGCAACACACTCATACACATAAAATAAAAATAATATTAAAAAAAAAAAAAGTTAAACATGGCCGGGCATGATGACCCACAACTTTAATCCCAGCACTCGGGAGGATCTCTGTAAGTTCAAGGCCAGCCTGGTCTACACAGTGAGTTCCAGGCCTGCTGTCTCAAAAGACTGAAAAAAAAAAGTTAAACATAGATTTGTATGACTCAGCAAATCAATTTTTAGGTAATTACTAAAAAGTAATGAAAATATATACTCCAGAAAAAAAGCAGGTACATATATAAAAGCTTTACAACCAAAATGAAAATCCAAACAACTCAAATGGACATTACCTGGTGGATGTATAAAATGCAGAATATTCGTAAAAGGATATATATTTGGCCACAAAAAATGAAGGACTGACATGTTACAATAGAAATGACCCTCAAAACATTAAGTGATGGGCTAGAGAGATGGCTCAGTGCTTAAGAACACTGGTTGTTCTTGCAGAAGATCCGGGTTCAAATCCCAGCACCCACATGGCAACTAACAACTGTTCATAACTCCAGTCCCAGGGGATCCGAAAGCCTCTTCTGACTCCTAGGGCATTGTATGACATGGGTGCACTTACCTACATGCAGGCAATACACGCATACACATAAAATAAAAATAAATAAATAAAAATAAAATATTTAAAAATAAATAAAATTTAGAAAATAAAAAGAGAACAGAAATCAGGGGGCAAGGGGGAGGTAAGGTGATGGTGGAAATGGAGAAAGGGATCTGACTATGATCAAAATAAACTACGAATACTTGAATCAAAATTTTTAAAAAGAAATAATAAACACCAAAAATGTTACATATTCTTGACTACAGTATGATTAAGAGCTCCTTCAGTCTGGGTATGGTGGCACACACCTTTAATCCCAAGCAGAAGCAGACAGATCTCTGAGTTCCAGGCCAGTTGTGTCAATATACAGAGTTGCTAATCAGTGTTATACCGTGAGACCCTGTCTAAAATTAAAAAAAAAATAAAATAAAATCCAACCAACCTGCCAGACAAACAAAAAGCCTTTTGGGGGCTGGAGAGATGGTTCAGAAGTTAAGAACACTTGCTGTTCTTCTAGAAGACCCAGGTTAAATTCCCAGCACCCACATGGCAGTTCCAGGGGGGATCTGACACCTTCTTCTGGCCTCTGCAGGCACTGCACAAATATGGTACACTTATATACATGTAAGCAAAACACTCAAACACATAAAATAATAAAGGTTTTTTGGGGGAGGGGGGTTTGATTTTTTTTTTTTCTTTTGTCTTTTTGAGACAGGGTCTCCCTGTAGCCCTAGCTGTCCTGGAACTCACTGTGTTTTTTTGCTTTTTTTTTGGTCTTTATGAAACAGGGTCTCCCTGTAGCCCCAGCTGGGATTAAAGGCGTGCGCTACCACCCAGCAAATACTTTAAAAAAAAAAAAACAACAAACTCTTTAAGGCCTTCAGGACACTGGAAGCTTGCATATGTGAACTTGTGGCAATGGTGGTATTAAGCACAGGACCCATGCCAACTCAATCAGACAAGGGCCCAGAGTTGATCGAGGAAAAAGAGTGGCAGGCCAGCCCTAGTCTGGGATCTATTGGAAACTGATTATTACTGGGTGAGGGAGAGTAGGCCTTACTTAAGATCTCTAGACATGCTGACTAGACTCCAGCAGATGAATTTGTATTGAAGGACATCTGAGTACAAATGCTTGAATGGATAAGACTTAATATGTATGGGAGAATACATGAGGTCTGGTGGGGGGTTGAGGGGCACAAATGGGGGAGGGGGTCTAAATTTGATTAAGAACTGTGATATGAAATGTACAAAAGCTCAATTAAAAAATTCTTGAAGGGGCTGGAGAGATGGCTCAGGGGTTAAGAGCACTGACTTCTCTTGCAGAGGACCGGGGCTCGATTCCCAGCACCCACATGGCGGCTACAAACGTCCTTAACTCCAGTTCCAGGGGATCCAACACCCTCTTCTGACCTCCACGGCATTGCACGACACAGGTGCACTCACATACATGCAGGCAATACACTCATACACATAAAATAATAAAATATTTTAAAAAATTTTTAAATGTTCAATTTACACAAAAGAGCATCACTTAATTGAAAACAAGTTCAAAATTAGAAATACTCAAGCAATCACTGTCAAAATTCTGGAATACCTCAAGAAATTAGGTGAACATAACTTTTTGAGATGATGTCTCAAAACAACAACAAAAAAAAAAGATGAAGATACACAATGAAAATTGGTGGTATTCTTACAATAGATGTTCAAATGCATTAAAAACTTTCCAATTTAGTCATAACCTGTTTGTGGTGTGAAATTATCAGGACAGTACGTAACACCAGGATTTATGCTTCATGATTAGACTTAGACAAATGGATAGGCAAATGGACTCCTCTGTCAGGAGAAAAAATAATTCTCAGTTTCAACTGGATACAGTCTTTGAGGGGTGGGGACAGCAGTGATGGTTCAGGTTTACTTTCTCCATATAATCACCTATGGCTTCACTTTAAAGACAAAATTTGGTAAAACTGGTGCTTCATAAATGTTTTCTTCTTTAATGTTAGCTTTACTTATAAAAGAAAGACCACAGAGCAATTAACACTGAGCCTTGACTTTGAAGTCTCATAAAATATGCCCTCGAGCTACGCTTCCTTCCCAGCAACTAACTAGTGCACTCAGGGCCTGCTTTCTCTAGGCCTCTAACTTCCTACAGTGGAAAGGCATCCTTTTTTCTATTACTCACTGGTACCTTTAGAATAGTCACCCACCAAAGTATCCAGATAGCATTACAGGATATACAGACAATGTTCTTTACAGGACATTTTTTTATTCAGAATTTTTTTCCAGCTGCTTTCACCTTTAAGATTTATCTGTGGCCGGGTGTGGTGGTGCATGCTGGTAGTCCCAGAGCTTGGGAGGCAGAGGCAGGCAGATCTCTGTGAGTTCAAGGCCAGCCTGGTCTACATAGTGAGTTCCAGGACAGCTGGGGCTAGAGGGAGACCCTGCTTCAAAAAGACCAAAAAAAAAAAAAAAAAAAAAAGATTTATCTGTGTACTACTACAAGCAGAATCCTGCTCAAAGTACTATACAAAAGATCTGCTTCAGACTAGCCTAAGACGAGTATTTGCAAAGTTTTAAATTAAAAATGAATGTTAAATAATAAACATGCATGAAGTCTCAATGAAATCATGTACACCTCACAAAAATTTAAATACATTATTCTGCAATGGGCAAAATGATCCTTAATCCTGATGTTCACTAAATCAAATATTCTACCAGGTGTCTTGGTCCATTTATGTTAACTGTAGCACTTGGGAGGCCAAGACAAGAGGTTTTGAGTTTGAGGCCATTCTAGGGGACAACATAGCAGGGCACACCAGTATTCCT